CAAATGGATTAGGGCTGCTTTTAGTTTATGAGTTCTATTGATCTAAGTCACCGTTTATAAACTGGAAATGCAAGTTGCATTTAATCCCCAAAGGCAGTTTAAACACATGTGTGATTTTCAGATCTGTTCCCGAACGTTTACAGAGTGCTTTGGAGTCTGGGCTCTAGAGAAAGTTAAAGTTAAAGCTGGGCAAGTCCCAGCTTTAGAAGTGGGTGCAGTACATTCAGCAGGCTTCTTAGTCCTTTTCGGCCGGGGCCAGAGTGTAATGTGACCTCACTGCTATTGATAGGCTTGGTGTTGGAAAGGAATGAATGTGCAGAGATCATCACTGGGTCCTTTGATAAAAAGGGCTGATCTAGAAGAAAGAAATTGCAGTCGGCCTGAGGAATCACGTCATCAGAGAAACCACACGGGCCATGGTGCTCTTGGCCACTGGTATACAAGGCAGAGTCCACTCAGGTAACAAAGGAACCTTTTCCAAGTCAGCCAATAGGAAAAGGCAGGCGAGTGACCTGTAGCCACGGGCCTGACACTACAAGGGCCGTTTTATAATCAGCTCTCTGTGACTGGGGTGGAGTTCCACAGTTTGTGTTCTGTGCTCCTTTCTGCGGCTTGACTGTTAGTGGGCTTGGAGCTTACAGCCTTCAGAAGGATGTTGGTTTTCCTAAAAAGATGTTAGAACGTGGCCGGGGTGCCAACAATCCAAGAGCAAGGGTGATACATACATCTTTGTTCTGTATTCCCATCGTGACATTAAAAAAACACTTTCCATTTCAATCATATCCTCGTCTGACCGAACCAGTGGCATTCTGGACTCTATTATTCAATTCTCAAAGTCGGATCTGATGAGCAGGAGCTCGGCAGACCAGAAGTTACCACTTAATCTTTCCTTCCTTGGACTTCAGTCTGACCACGACAAAGTGCTTAGCACAGAGACTTCATGTGGTTGTGACATTCTCACATTAATTAATTAGTGAGAGAAACTTTGGTTGATTCTTAGAGCTGGCGGGGTCACGGGGTCATCAGTGTTTTATATTTGAAGAAGAGCGGGACAAAGAAACACAAGTAGCCCCACCAGTCCCCGTTAGACTGGGAGAGCCCAGAGGTGGATGCCGCCCTCCTCTGTGAACCCGAGGCTGGACATGCACATCCACGTCCTCCCTCCATCTTGGGAGTCTCTGCCATAAGACCTCAAGGATTTGAGACACTAATGAAATGTACCTTTGTTTTCTTCTCAAACTGGAAATGGGAATGGGACATCCTTTATTCTGTATCATTTATTTCTAAGAGCAATGCTGAAGTTTTCTTCCTCATAAGCGATTAAATGGCACCCCTCAAGCCAAAGGACAGCCTCAGGATATTTTATTTTTTAAAAAAAGATTTATTTACTTTTTGAGAGAGAGGGAATGAATCTCAAGCAGACTCTCCACTGAGTGCAGAGCCCGGCTCAGGACTCAATCCCAAGACCCTGAGCCGAAATCAAGAGTTGGCTGCTTAACCTACTGAGCCACCCAGGCGTCTCCGGCCTCAGTATATTTTAAAGCAAGAACTGCTGCCATGTATTTAAGCCCATGCGGGTTCTCAGCCTGGATTTCTGTGAGCTTGAGGAACAGTTGGTCATCTTACGAAGCTATCATAAGCTGCTCCTCCAGGTCAGGTCTGGAGGAGTGGGCCTCCTGTCAGGGGAGAAAGTGGGTTGGTAATAAGATGGAGTCATCAGGGGAACTCTGCAGATCTTGGCAGACAGACTAGGAAAGAAGGGGGACAGCACAATGAAATGGGTTGCTGCCTTGTGTCTCTGGCGTGAGATGTGGGATGGAAAATGAGCTTCAAGCCTAAACCATTTCAGATCCCCACATCAAGCTGAGCCCCCTCCCCACAGCCTGCTGAGAAGCTGTTACTGCAAGCAGATGCAGCTGACACGTTATTATTTTGGGGAGGGATGGTGGTGGGATCCTCTTATTTCCCTTCCGAAGTGTAAAGGCTTCTTTTATAAAATCATCTTTGCCAAAGGCCACATATTTTAAGATTCCATTTATATGAAATTTCCTGAATAGGCAACTCCACAGAGCCAGAAAGTGGATTCCTTGGTGTGGGAAGATGGGAAGGGGGATGGGGAGTGACTGCTTTGGGGAGGGTTTCTTTTGCAAATTAAAAACACCTTGGATTAAACAGTGGGGATGGTTGCACAACACAGAAATATACTTTGAAATGGTGAATTTTATGTTACGTAAATTATATCTCAAAAAAATTAGCGTACAGTGCGTCACCTTTTCTATTTTTTTAAAGATTTATTTATTTATTTTAGAGAGTAGGAGAGGGACAGAAGGAGAGAATCTCAAGCAGATTCCCTGCTGAGTGCAGAGCGTGACAACATGGGGCTGGATCTCAAGATCCTGAGATCATGACCTGAGCTGAAGCCAAGAGTCAGACGCTGAACCGACTGAGCCACCGAGGTGCTCCTACAGTCTATCATCTTAAGATGAGGACTGATGAAAAGTGTCATTGGCGGTGACAGGGCCTGCAGCTGGTGTTCACCGTGCCCCAGCCATTGTTCTTCACCCTGTTCATCCTCAATGCACCCCACCCAGCTGGGTGCTATCATTCCCCACATTTTACAGATGAGGGCACTGAGGCACAGGGAGGTTGGGTGACTTGGTCAAGGTCGCACAGCTGGGGCACGGCAGAGCTAGGCTCCCTACTAGGCAGTCTGGCTCTAGAGTCTGCATCTGGACTCCAGGGCTGCGCTCCTGTCTGGATTCTAGCGAGGTTACTGTAGAATACTAAAAAAACAAAAACAAAAAACCAACCAAACAAAAACAACCCAACGCAAACCGTACCAAAACAAAAATCTGGTGAGGCTACGTGAGTGCAGGAGCTCAGGGTGGCCCACTTGAAATGTTGGCACAGGCTCGGCCCACAGCAAAGATCATCTGCCTCAACAGATTAGCCCACCTGGCTGACGTGCCACCCCCACAGTTAACGTCAGCCCACCCCGGCCACTATTCGTTCAGAGCTGGGCACACAGGCGTCTCTTGCTGCAGATTGGTTTGTGCAGACACACCTCTGCCTCTCCAGATGCTCTCAGTGGGTGGGATGGAGGCAGCTTGGCGCTCATTTCTGTTGCAATACTGGCAAGCTGTCTCAATGCACTTGACCTTGAGGGTTAATGTGTGCAAGTAACACCATCCGCTTTGGGTCTTTGGTAAGAAATAAGCTTCAAAACAATTTTCCGTCCTGCTTTATGCTTTTAAAAATCATGGAACACTACATCAAAAACTAATGATGTAATGTATGGTGATTAACATAACATAATAAAATAAAATTAAAAAAAATCAGACATACTGATCTCTGAATGAAAGAAAAATGAGTCACCTTGGATATCTTAAAAGGATCCCAACTTTAAGTCAATAATACATAGAAATAAAGATCTAGCTACTTTCCATTGGATCGAATACTTAAAGAAATATAATTTAATTTCCAGTGTTCTAATTTATCTTTAGAATCTTTTTTTTTTTTTTTGCTTAACAAGTGAAACGTAGGAACATACTTAACATCCAGAGCTCTAGGCCATGTGGACTGAGAGACGAGATAGAGTAGTGGGTAAGAGCCCATTGTCCGGTCTGACCACTTAGTGGCCGGGTGCCCTTGGACAGTTTTTTTTTTTTTTAAAGATTTTATTTATTTGAGAGAGAGAGCATGAGAAGGAGGAGGGTCAGAGGGAGAAGCAGACTCCCCGCTGAGCGGGGAGCCCGATGCGGGACTCGATCCCAGGACTCCAGGATCATGACCTGAGCCGAAGGCAGTTGCTTAACCAACTGAGCCACCCAGGCGCCCCTCCCTTGGACAGTTTTATTGAGCTTCTCTGTGCTGCTCCTTGAGTGTAAGACGGGACAATCACCACACCCTATACTATGGTGGTAGTGTGGGGTTTAAATGGCCTGGCAAGGGCAAAGCACTTAGAGAAGAGCCAGCACAAGGCATGTACCATGCCCCCAACTCATATTAAATCTAGATATTTCAGTCCGATCCATTAGCACTTAAAGCATTTAAAGTATGCTGAATATTTGTCTCAACCCTCATGTGCTTCGGAGTGTGCTTCCTTCATTACTTCAGTGGGTTCAGTATGGTTCCCATTTGACACACAGGGAAAAGTGACAGGTGTCTGTTCAAGATCACTGGGCCTTAGCTGGGTCCAGAGCTCAATGTTGCTCATTCTTAAGCCAGTTTTGCGTATCTCTGAAAAGAATCTTTCCATATAATTTATCATTAATTTCTTAGTGAGAAAGTTTAACAAAAGGAAAATGCGTTTCAAGAGTCAAGAATATTTAAAGATCGAAACCAGAGATGCATTGTTCGAGAGACGGAGCCTGAGTCCAGAACCACAGCTTGTTTGTTTCACAGCCTCTCGAGAAGCCCCGGTTCAGCTGTACTTGTTCATGGATTACAGATTGTTCAAGGTAGTAGGGGGATTAGGGCTAATCGATGTTAACTCTGCATTTTATGGATTAGGAACCATTTTCAGAGAGCTGACAGGACTGTATTGAAACTGCTAAAAAGTGAGTACAAGCCCTGAGAATCCAGCATACTGGTCTAGTTCCGAGTCTGGTCTCCTTCCCGTTTTAACAAATTCCCTCTCATGGGTGAAGGAAGTCACACCTGCCTGCATCAGGATGAGGGGATACCTCCTTCCCAGCCTCCCTGTTCATTCCTCCCCATTCCTAAGCACCCTGCTCTTACAGCCTGTCCGGGTGGAAGCCTGCAGGAAGCAAGGGATCTGCCGGTGATGCTTTATAAGGCCCGAGACATTCATATATGTGCAGCAGGTGCACGACAATCCTTCTCTCTGGGGCTACAGAGAAACCCTTCTCTTCTGCACCCAGCCCTTCTGTGCCATCTAGATCCATTTTCCCGCTTGTCAAACAGGTACATTTCCACCCATTTCATAAGGGTAAAATGAGATAATAAATGCATGTGACTTAGCACAGCGTCTATTATAGAGTTCATATGGTTGAGATTGTTATTATTATTCAGGACTGCTCTTTGAATTCATTCTAATACGAGTGGCAGTGGGGACAAGAGATTGGCTCCAGGCTCCACATCCCTTAGGCTTGGGTCTCCGGGATTCCTCCTCTTTGGTTTACCCACCATCAGTCCTCAGTGTCCTCAAGCGAAGACTTCACTAGCACATTTCTGCTGAATCCTCAAAGTTACTGGTTTGGTTTCTCCTCTGATTAGAAGGTACAGTAAGAGCCATAAATCATACGGATCCAGAATGCTGCAGAGAATTGCGCATGCCTCCTACTGAAATGAAGCATCCACCCAAGGACACTGAGCGGCGTCCAGGACCAGTGGCGAGGTAAGTTCCATTTTCCCAGGTGACATGCGTCCAGCATGCTGTCCTGCGGAGGGAGAGCCCCCCAGCGGGAAGGCACACACGGAGGCCTTTTCTCAGGAGGGCTGTGCAGGTCTCTGCTGAGTTCTCCACAGTCTGTTACCCAGCTGCTCATTGTCAACAGCGTGCAATTATTTTGCATGAGGGCTCAGAGTCTTCAGGACTTTTCCCACTCCCCTGAATGATGCGCTCGCTTGCCTGCATCTCCCACAGATGGTGGGCTCCTTCTCAGTAGAGATTATCTTGTTCACCTTTGTATGGATAGCTCCCAGCACACAGTAGGTGCTCCATAAATGCTTTTAAAATAAATCACTGATTAGACAAACTTCAAAGCAAGGGAGGCATCCATAAACAGGAAGTGAAGGATGAACCTTATTGAACTTTCCAGGCTTAGAAGACAGGACTTGGTGTGACCTGGCCTCTGTCTTATCTTACACAGCTCTGCCCTTTGCCCTCTGCCGGACAATGACTCTGACCTCCTTTCACTGCCCCGTGCTCATCGTGTCCTTTCCTGCCACGCGGGGCACACAGTATGGTTTGCCAGGTAGCACACAGGACACTCCACCAAAGGGTGTGTCAGCGTTGTCCACTAGAGATGTCATGCGAGCCACAAACATGAGCCACACGTGTAATTTTAAATTGTCTTGTAGCCTCATTAAAAACTGTAAAAAGAAGCAAGCAGAAGTAGTAACATACTTCACCTGACCCGATATATTTAAACGGTGCAATTTCAACATGCAATTAATAAACATAAGGTGACTTGAGGCATTCTGTATTTTCTCACACTAAATCTTTGAAATCCAGAGTGTATTTCATACCTAGAGCACATCTCACCTTAGACTAGCCACATTTTGAGTGCTCGGGAGCCAAGTACGACTAGTCACTATACTGTTGGGCAGCAAGTGGTTGTGCCATTAATAGTCCAGATATTGTAGAATTGGATAAACAGGGTCTCTGAAAGGTGACAGTAAAAAATCTTGTTCTAGCAAAATTAGCAAATTATGACAACTTTTCAAAGAAGCAAAGGGTCTTGAGGAGAAGTACCTTTTTTCTAACTTGCACAAAGATGCTTCTGGGCCAGTGGTGGGCTTGCTACCACAGGACTTTTGTACATGCTCTTCCCTCTGCCTGGAAGTCCAACCCCCTGGGGTCAACATCTGCTCATGTTTCTAGTAAAGTGTCATTTTTTCCAAGAGGCCTTTTTTCCATTTTCTCACAGTCCAGTTTCTTTGCCTCATAGCACTTGTTTGCATTTGTGATGATATGATATATTCATGTGTGAGATTATTTGGTTAAATTCTGTCAACAACCCAAAATGGTAAACTATAGGAGGGCAATTCCTCTTTGCTCACCATGGAGTGTTTGACTCCGAGCATGGCACTGGGTGCTTAGAAGGGGGTCCTAAAGATGGATCAAGAAACTGCCCGGCTGAACGCACAAGTCGGTATCAACTAGCCCCATCCGTTTTAGATGTTCACATTCTCAGAGTCCCAAGTATGTCTTGTTCTCTGCCTTCAGGATGGGGCTGAGGCTAGAATTGTCATTCAAGGCCTCTCCAGGGAAGAAAGCTGACTCTTCCCTCTCTCATCATTCAAGCGTATTTCCTGTTCAAAGTGTGTGAATTCATCTGACCATTTTCCTCTGAATCTGTTCCCAGTGCAGCCACCTTATGTCTCTGCAGAGCTGAGTGACCTTGAGCTTTATCTAGAACTCATTCAGGAGATTTCCTCTTCAGTGGCCACTTTAAAACAAACACATTTTAAAAGTAGGCTTGTTGGTAATATGGAAAGCCGGCAGCTCAGGCGATAAGACACTCGGTATTTTGAAACATATGGGATTGTGCAAGTTCTTATCTGAAATCCAAGAGCTGTCAAGCTGGGAAATTTACTTAGTTGCTTCATATTCTGTCTTCTCCCTTCCCATCTTCCCGGAATTCTCACCAATAAATAAAATCCATGCATGGGGCAGTTAGGAATAAAAGCTATAAAATAAATAATAAACGTAAGGCAAAATGCTTACTAACCACTTAGCATCAATAATATGTGTATAATGTTAAGTGTAGTGGGGTTAAGATTTAGAATTCTGATGTCATCGGACTACCTAGATTCAAATCCTGGCCTTGGTGTCCATTAGCTGTGTGACCTTGGGCGAGTTGCTTAATCTCTCTGGGCTTAGTTTCATCATCTGTAAAATGAAGGATTAAGAAAACAGAACTTACCTCATAAGTGTGTTGTGATACTTCAAAGAGCTTCTGACCATACAGTGCTTGTATAATGTTATTCCAGAAGTTATGTCTAGTTTTTTTTTTTTTTTTTGGAAGGAGTTTGCACCCATGTGACATTAAAGAGCTGGTTAAGAATGACTCTTTGGTGGGCACCTGGGTGGCTCAGTCGTTAAGCGCCTGCCTTCGGCTCAGGTCATGATCCCAGGGTCCTGGGGTCGAGCCCTGCATCGGGCTCCCTGCTCTGTGGGAAGCCTGCTTCTCCCTCTCCCACTTCCCCTGCTTGTGATCCCTCTCTCACTGTGTTTCTCTCTGTCAAATAAATAAATAAAATCTTCAAAAAAAACCCACAAAAGAATGACCCTTTGGGTAATTCTTGTGCAGACAGAGCCTTAATTTGAGAGGAGACAAGCAAGGTCTAGTACCCACTAATATTTGGATTGTTCCTTTAGTCTTCTTTGCTTAGGCCTTATTGAAAAATGATGTTCCAACAAAACAAGACCTTCCATGAATAAAGTAGAAGTAGGACTGATGGCTTCAGAGTGTGGGGCTGGATTTCACTGAAATATAGAAATCTTCCATAACGTGGGAAGTGCTCAGGGCTCACACTGGCCAGTCTATTCTAACGAGACTCTCGTGTGCCTGGAGGATAATCTGGCTCAGCCAGGGACGTAGAGCATCACAACACCTGCCTTCTGCTCTATTTTCTGCCGGGCCCGTCAAGATGGCTGTAAGGTGGTTTCTCACACAGAGAGATTACAAGGAAGCTGCCTTACATGTGTCCCTGCTCAAGATTGTGTCTCTCACAAATCTGCCAAGGTGCCCACAGATCGCACCATTAGAGACACACTCCTTTGCATTGAGGTATTGGGTTTCCAGCAATGCCATGTGAAATGAGCATTTCCCTTCCCAGCACCTCAAGAGAAAGAGCACCCTAAGCCATCCCCAGCTACAGCCACCTTAGTTTGTCTTTGACAATTGGCAATTGGGATGGTGGAAAGGACATGGAGGGTTAGCAACGGGGCCTTCAAAAAATCGTATTATCTCTACAAATTATCCAAGTTACTGGGGCTTGTTGTTTCCTCGCTTATAATGAGGGTGATGCTAATACGCTACTCTATAGGGTTGTCATGGGGATTAAATTATGGGGTGACTTTAGTGTAGGGAACACACCGTTGCTTATCATAGTTGTCATTACCCTGAGAAATGGAGAGGTAAATTATGACGGAAGAATGCAAAATCCAGGGTAGCGGCTCCTGCCTGGACCTAAAGTTCTGGGAGATGGGAGATAGCACGATGCCGTGGGTGCTTGAGTGGGGGTGCGGGGGAGAGGAGAGGGCAAGGGCAGAGCATGGGACAAGGGGAAAAGGACACTGGACCCAAGTGTCACCAGACTTACAATGTCAAAGGGATGTGTATGTCATAGAATTAATAGAATGGAGATGATAATGACATTACTTTAATCACAGGGTGGGAGAAAAAGAATATACACATTTGGAAAGAACTCAATGTATATCATAGTTACAATGTGTCATCCAGATATGAATTTATATTCACTTATTTATATACTTCTTTCGAGAGCTTTCTCCATGCCAGGCACTGTTCTGAAATGGGGGATACGTGCACAGGGGAACATAACAGCCTGCTGCCGGTGAGCTAATCAGAGGGAGATGGACAAAAACCAACAAAGAAATACAAAATATATCAGATGATGAATGCTAAGAGAAAAATTAAGTAGGCAAAGATACTGGGAGTGTTGAGGGGTGGTATGTGAGATAGAGTGGTCAGGGAAGTCCTCTTTGATAACAACTGAATTAAAAGAACCCTCCTTATTCATTTCTTTCAACGCACCTTTTTTTTTTTTTTTAAGATTTTATTTATTTATTTGAGACAGAGAGAATGAGAGACAGAGAGCATGAGAGGGAGGAGGGTCAGAGGGAGAAGCAGACTCCCCGCCGAGCAGGGAGCCCGATGCAGGACTCGATCCCGGGATTCCAGGATCATGACCTGAGCCGAAGGCAGTCGCTCAACCAACTGAGCCACCCAGGCGCCCTCAACGCACCTTTATTGAGTTCCTACTATGCATTAGGTAGTTTGCTAACAGATGGGAATACAATGGTGGACAAAATTGACAAATTCCTTCCATTTCATGAAGCTTTTATTCTTACGGGAGGGGAAAAAGAAATAGAAACAAATAAATGAGCCGATAACTTCATAGTGTAAATATGTAAAGGCAATAGACAATAAAATTGGGGGATATGATAGGAGAGTGACTCTTTGGAAGGGAGGATGGAGAAGTGGGCGGCCAGCATAAGTCAGAATTAAAATCTGCAGACCACTTTAACATACAAATGTGCAATAAAAATCATCACTTATTTATTACATATCATGTGTGTTTATAGTCCTAGGACATCTTTAATGCAACAGAACATGTTGATTCAATCATATTTAGCTTCTATGTGAGAGAATATGAAAAAATTTTTCTGGAATATTTTATATATATTGCTCTTTCTTATGATCTACCCACTGATGAACCCAATTTTTCCTTCTTCATTGTCCCCCCATAACTTGAATATTTATGGTTATCCCCTGTTTAAAATACTCTAGAGGTCAACATTCTTCATATACTTCACCTATTTGAACCATTTCAATACTCCACCACTTTCTTTGATCACTAGCTAAATGAAGTATATTAGTAAGATATAAATATAGAAGTATATTAATAAAATAGTTTAGGGCATTCGGTTTATTTCTAGAATTATCTCAGGATCTCTACATGAAACATGGCTACCCTCACTCTTAAAATGAGGGCTAAAATTTGCCCTATTCAGATCTATTCTCTGATACTATGACAATTTAAAAGCCATTTTATGGCTGACCCCAAAACAATCATCCTTCTAAGGTCTTTTCTCAATATAACTGGCTATGGAGCTACAGAATGTATTTCTTCTAGTCATCTTTGAAATTGACTTGAAGTCTCTTCTTAAGAGGATTTATTCGTAAGATATTTGTCCCCATGACTTAGTCACCGAAAGACTTAGTAATTTCTCTGTCCCTTTTCTCCTTGGCCTGTCCTTTGAAAGTTCCTCTTCTTTTCCTTCATTTCTCCTCTCTTCAGACTTTATTTGCTCTCCCAGATGAACAGATCTCTTTCCTTAGCTTCAAGTCACAGTAAATAATATGCCATCGCTTCCCACATCTGAGCGCAGCCTGCACCACATTCATCTTCTAGTAGCCCATCGCGGCTCTGCTTCCCAGAGCCTGAGAAACTCTTCATCTCAGATGAAACTCTTATTTCCCCTCCAATTGGTTCTGCTTCCTGTGCTTCCTTTCTTGGCTACAGGTTTCCTTTCTTCAGTCACTTCTGCTGGAAATCGAAGGGTCATCTTCAACCTTCTCCTTTGTGTCCCCACCAACTGCAGGGGACCAAGTCCTGCTGTCCTACATCTGTAACAGCCGCCCCGCCATCCCCCAGCTGCTGTCTCGGTCCAGCTCTTGTCAATCATCCTGTGCTACTTATAACTACGTCCTTCACACAGGATGAGAGCTTGGAATGCAGATCTGATTATTTTGCACTTTATTACTTAAAGTTCTTCTATGACTCTCTATCAGTGACTACAGGTTGAAGTCCACTCTCCATGACATGATGTAGATGCTCCTGCAGGGGAGCCAGGCCTGCCTATGTAGACACGTCTTGGACTATGCCTTTGTGCTGTAGTTCCTGCAATCAACCGTCATTGTGTTCTAGATACTGTGCCAAGGACCTTCCAAATACTAATTCACTTACTTTTCACTTAACTGTGCTTAATGTTCACAACACTCCTATCAGGGGGATACTATCATTACTTCCCTTTTGCAGCAGGTGTAGTGCTCCCAAGGTCACACAGGTAGAGTATTGAAATTTGAATACAGGCCTGACTTCTAGTACCTGGGTTTGTAATAATTTTTCCTTAAATGATGTCCATTTCTCTTAACTGTCTCCCACTTGTTCACCTGCATGGCGTTGACATGAGCCGTCTCCCTTGGTTGGCTACGCCTTCCTCTGACTTGTCCTCATGCTACCTTTCAGGCTGCTCCCCAGGCTGCACTTCCACAAGGAAGCCTCCCCGGCGGGATACTTGTGCCCTTCTTCGGCCTCCAACTTGCTGCCTCTTCCCCACTGTAGCTCCCACGGCTCTTTATGGTGCTGATGTTTCACCCATCTGGCACCTCCTCTGGGCTCTAAATTCCTTGAGAGTCGCAAGCAGATTTTATCTGTGGAACTCCCGGGCCTGGTACAGCACCTGAAACATGCAGACACTCAACCAATGTTTGTTAACTGAATGCGTACGCACATGAATGAACCAAGTGTGGAACCAGGGTCAGGGCTGAACTTACCCATCAGCTGCACTAAAGTGAATTGATGTAAGTCTTTACTTTTTACCCGGTAAACTCCGTGCCTGGATTTCTCCAGCACCTGTATTCATTCATTCTCTCATTCATTTCGCCTTTGAACATGTATTGAGTGCTGCTAAGCCCCAGCTTAACTCTTGGGATGAAAAGGTGAAGAAAAATATCTCCTATCCTTGAAGAGCTACACAGGATAGGGGAGTGAAGCAAACTGGTTAATAGAGGATTAAATACAATGAGATATATGCTATGAAAGGGCTTTTATGTAACGTGTAAATAGCATGAAGAAGGAAGTTTCTACTACATTTGAGGACACTTTACAAGAGGACATAGGAGCTGAGTCTTGAAGGATGTGTAGACTCGGAGCAGATAAGGGAGGAAGGAGAATGACTTGAGGTTGTGGAAATGCCTTGACTGAAGGGCATTTAAAGCACCCAGAGCATGAATACAAAGGGTTCATGGAGTGCGGGGGGAGAAGGCTCTCTCCAAGCGGAGGGAGACCTGGAGAGATAGCCAGGGTCCAGTGCAGACGGATCTGGGCTACTCCGAGCAGTGTGGGCTTGACTCCCTAAACACCGGAGCGCTCGAGGAGCGAGTGTAAGCAAGTGAGTGAGGGATCAAGGTTGTTGGCTTGTAGAATGGGCACCTTAGAATCTGGGGGGAGAACTGATGAGGGCCTGAGTTGGGACAGCTGCTGGGTCAATGGAGAAGGGGTGGGTCTGGGAGACACTCCAGGGTAGAACAAACAGAACATGGTAGCGAAGAAATGTGGGCCCAGCATAGAGATGTGGAAGAAAACTGGAGGTTGGTGCCATTAACTGAGCTTGGGGCACGTGGTTTTATTTCTTCATGAGTAATAATGATCCAGAGACAATTGTAGGCTGGAGAATTTTTTTTTTTTTTTAAGTACTCATTTAATTGCCTAAAATCATTCCCTTAAAACCTTCTTTAATTTTATTTATTTATTTTTTTGCATATGTTGTAGGCATATGTTTCAACCATCCTTTTGACCAGGTCAATCTCTCTAAACCAATGGCTCTTTGACCCACGTTCCTCCGTCTTAGGGCCCCCGACGCCTCCGCTGCGAACAAGAGAGTCCTGAGCAGGCCGAGTTCTGGGCCAGCTCTCTGCTCAGCGGACCACAGCACCTCTACGCTTATTTGTTCCAGCACCGGGCTTACAGTGCGAATTTCCCAAAGAGCTCTGGAGCTTTATTACCTCTGAAATCACTAGTCTAAATGTCAGTAACCCCTGCGATATGTTTTGTTAACTCTACGTGCGTGGCTGCCGTCCTGCGTTACAGGGTGTTTCTTTGCGCGGTTCTGTTTGTTCTGTGTCCTGTTTGTTCCGATCTTGGGAGATGTGGATGACGTCAGCAGACGCAAATTGGTAAATCTGGTATATTGTGCCCGATTGCTCTTTAACTGCAGATGAGATCGCTTTCACCGCCACCGATTTCTGTTTCCTGATAAACAGACATCTCACCCGCCATGGTCCAGGTTCCCCTTAACAGTGGATTTGGAGGAAACCACCTGTCCCGGGAGCCTCGCTGCCTTCCGCCTTCCGTCTCGGGCAGGTGAAGAGTGACGGGTCCGCCGAGAATGAACACAAGCTGTTGTTTTTGAGTTTTCCAAATATTTTCCGACTCCTATTGTGTGCTTTTGTGTTTTGTACTCAGAAACCCCTGCCAAGAACTCCCCCGACGGCATTCCTTCCTGGGCCCTAAATCATTTGGACAGCAAACAAAACTTCTCATAGGTCACTCATCTCAAGGAGATGTATTTGTTAAATATGAAGAGATGACTAGGACACACACACACACATATATGTATATATATATTACCACTTTTGGGTCCACGAATTTTTTTTTGGAAATAAGAGCTTTGCTAGCTGCATTTGTAATCTACTTCTGACTTGCGTCTTTAGGACAGTGTTCAGATACTTAAATGTATCTAAAATGAAATGCTCCTGTGGAGTTAGTAGGTATAGATGTTGAGGGAAGGTTGACAGAACAAGTGAGAGTAGAAAGCTGGATAACCTTAAATAGAAAGTACAAACATATATGCATTGCTGTTTTTCTGATATATGTTTATGTCTGTTTATATATGTGTATTATCTGTTATGTGCTGTTTTCCTGAGAGAGAGAGAGATATATATAAGAAAGAAAATTTATATATATATTTTTTCTTTCTTCTTTCTTTCTTTCTTTCTTTCTTTCTTTCCTTCCTTCCTTCCTTCCTTGTTTCTTTCTTTCTTTCTTTCTTTCTTTCTTTCTTTCTTTCTTTCTTTCTTTCCTTCCTTCCTTCCTTGTTTCTTTCTTTCTTTCTTTCTTTCTTTCTTTCTTTCTTTCTTTCTTTCCTTCCTTCCTTCCTTCCTTGTTTCTTTCTTTCTTTCTTTCTTTCTTTCTTTCTTTCTTTCTTTCCTTCCTTCCTTCCTTCCTTCCTTCCTTCTTTCTTTCTTTCTTTCTTTCTTTCTTTCTTTCTTTCTTTCTTTCTTTTTCTTCTTTCTTTCTTTTTCTTCTTTCTTTCTTTCTTTCTTTCCTTCCTTCCTTGTTTCTTTCTTTCTTTCTTTCTTTCTTTCTTTCTTTCTTTCTTTCTTTCTTTCTTTCTTTCTTTCTTTCTTTCTTTCTTTCTTTCTCTGCCCACGGACAGACTGTTCTAGGGAAAAGTGCTCTGCTTCTATCCCTTTTGTTAAATACCATGAATTTTCAGTACATCTTTTCCTCCATGTGATGATCATTAAATTCTCTAGATAATAGCAAGACAGTTTTCCTTTTTTCCAGCTACATTTATGAGCACTGTATTAAATGATTATAATAAATCATGTGTGTTAAGTACTACTCTCATTTTTCTTCCTTTTTATTACTGTGACCAGTGGGATGGCGTAGACACTGATGCCGTCGTGCCCCAGGGAAACAGAAAACAGAGGTTGTCCATCTTTGCCAAGGAGATTGATGTCTTAGTCGATATCACTGTGGGACACATGGGAAAAGCTGCCTCTCTCCTGTCCCACCACTCATTCCTGATTATCAGCTCAGCAGTGGTGGTGATCTTGTTCCTTTCATTATTTCAACAAGGGAATGTTAAGCTTTATTAACTCCTTATTCAAAATGTCCTTGAAGAAAGACAATGAGGTGTCAGAAAATAATAGATGCACATTATAATTTCTCCACAAACCTCTTAAGTGTCCTTGGAAAGGCAATTGTATTTGACTCAGTTTCCCTCTTGTTCGGGGATAGTAGGAGTTACAGGCATCTAAGGTCAGCTAGATACCTAGATGCCTTTGATACCTAGAATGGTCTACACAGTAGTAAGATCTTTTCTGTAATGTATCTTTCACATTTCATATTGTCTCACTAAAGTTCAAAATATCTAATAAAAACCACTAACACCATAATTTAGTGTTAGCTCTTGGCTTTGCAACAAGCCAGTTCTATCCTGCGGCCAAAAAAAAAGGCGGGGGGGGGGGAAGGGGGAGAGGAAAAGGGGGTTGTTGTTCTAAATGGTAGGCAGTTTATTCTTTATTATTTAAAATCTATGCTCCATCAAAAACTAATGATGTAATGTATGGTGATTAACATAACATAATAAAAAAATCTATGCTCCATTTTTTTTCTTTGTTGATTTTTAAACTTGAAATCTGTTTTGTGATATAAAGAATATGAAAAGATTTAGAAGGAAAAAAAAAAACCACATCTTAAAATACACTACTTCAAATATTTTAAACCCCTTTGGTATGCACAGATAAAATCCATTGTCGTTTGTGTGTGGGATCTTGATTATGTAGCTATGAATTATGTAAACAAAGTTTATGAAACATAAAGAACAATTGTCTAAAATATGAAAAATTGTTTTCTTCCTTTTGAGTTGTAAGTTCATTGGTACTACTGTCATGGAGGAATACTTTATTGTCTATAAGCCTAGTTTTCTGTCTTGCTTTTTGGTTAGAATTTTAGCCCTCATGAGCAGATCAATTAATGAGTTTTCCCACATTCAACCTGTTATTCTTGGAAACAGTGTTACATATGACACAACTGTGACCCCACAGACCACAAACTTCGGGGTGGCCTCTCTAACATTTGGGCTGACTCTTGTGTCCACAAATGTCTAAAATTATAGCCTCTAACTGATCACTTTTCCACAAGGGAAACCATATAGGAAAAGAGCCCCAGGCTCTGAAAGCTGCCAGACCTTTCACTTCAGTTGGCCTTTTTTATATTTTAGGGTCCAGTTTAGGTCTGTGTTAATACTGCATTTTTTACTTTATCCCTTCTAAAATATCTCATTGTATCTGTGAACTAATTAACAGGCCATTTGAATTTTTTACTGTCCATAGAAACGATCTGTGGGTGGACTGAACACAGTAATATCACCCTGTCTTTGTCTCTGTGGATCTCTTTCTGTGGACTTAGAGAAGGATCCATTCATTAGTGATAAATATTAAATCCTACATTGTGTTTAAAAAGACAGCTTAAAAATATATACAATTGGGGAAGTTTGATTTGATGTGAGCTTAATATGAAGAAAGGTTCCCTCTGGACTGGAGGTGGGTTACCCCTCAGATGTGAGTGAGGAGGGTGGGGGGAGGGGGAGGAGGGTGGGGAGGAGCCTAGCAGTTTTGCAGGGCAGGCCTCTAAGTGCACATCGGGAAGCGTCCTATAGATGTAGGGCAATCCTGGAGGCCCCTTTAGGGCTTCTGACAACTGTCTTTGTTTGTAGGCCCTACCTTTCAAATGAGATTGGCCCCAAACTTAGAAAGCCCATTGAAGAATGACCAGGATAATTGGATCTCGAAATAGTGGCACTTGCGTGATGAGCAAGGGGCCAGGAAGGATAAAATTTAGGATGGTGTGTAACTGCTCTTGTAAATATTTGAAGGGTACTGTGAGCAAGGGGTTACGTGTCTTCACTGTGGCTTCAGAGAGTGGAGTTCTGCCCAACAGGTAGAATTATAAAAAAAAGTATATTTCAGCTTAAGGAAAGGAAGCCCCTTCTAATGATCCGAGCTCTTGGAAGTAGGAGTGCTGAAGGATCTAGTGAGTTCCCATCCCTGGGGATGAGCAGAGAGAGGGCAGCTGCTCCCTCTGGGGGGGTGGCGATGTGGTGGCGACTGGACAGGATGCTCTATGTGGAGACTTTCAGCACAAAGATAGTCTGAGTCTGTTAGATAACACAAAATCTCTGGGCCTCTAAATGTGTAAAGATTCGTTTATAATAGGCACTTTACAAAAACAAAGTGAAAATATACATTAGGGAGCCTGGGTGGCTCAGTCGGTTAAGCGTCTGCCTTCGGCTCAGGTCATGATCCCAGGGCCCTGGGATCGAGCCCCGCATCAGGCTCCCTGCTTAGCAGGGAGTCTGCTTCTCCCTCTCCTACTCCCCCTGCTTGTGTTCCTGCTCTCGCTCTCTCTCTCTGTCAAATAAATAAATAAAATCTTAAAAAAAAAAAAAAAGAAAGCCACTGGTTTCTAAATTTTTTGGAGCTGATTTCTATCACAGATGATGTTATTAAAACCCTGATCTGGGGGCACCTGGGTGGCTCAGTTGGTTAAGCGACTGCCTTCGGCTCAGGTCATGATCCCAGGGTCCTGGGATAGAGTCCCGCATCGGGCTCCCTGCTCAGCAGGGAGCTTGCTTCTCCCTCTCCCTCTGCTGCTTCCCCTACCTGTGCTCTCCTGCTCTCTCTCTGTCAAATAAATAAATAAAATCTTAAAAAAAAATGTACATTAGGAAGGCGTTGTCTAAGTTCTGGGGCTCTAGAACTAGGCTGGCTGGGTTTACTATTTAGGAGACAAGGTACTTAACTTCTCAATTTCCACATGTATAAGATGGGGGGTAGTAGAATGCATCTCATAGGGTTGTGGTAAGGATTCAACAAGACGTATCTGTAGAGCCGTTAGACCAAGGCCCGACACAGGGAACCTCTCTCTATTGGTTGGCTACTTTTTATGTCACCGGGACGTTTGCATATACTAAGTTCACCTTGCATCTTGAACAGAATTCAAGTAACCACACATTTGGATTGTGGAGTCCTGAAGAATGAGAGTCTACTAAGAAGGCTGGTCCGAGTTAACCCTCAGTAGTCTGTGAGACCGAATACAGACCGACTAACCAGAGAATTTTTTCTTCCATTAGTGGACAATGATTTTTCTGACTAAACAGATAACGAAATGCACGATACTCTTGTTCAACGAATTGCTTTCGTGATGAGCCAATAAACACTCTAGTTAACATGTAGGTTCCATCTAAAACACCAAGTTTTCCAGTTTTTTTGAGCTGGTTAAACTCCTAATTACTACTCTGGTAACAAAACTGGAGCTTATTCGGGAAATCAATGTGAAATAACTTTGAATTTTAACATAAATAAATGAATAGTGCCTAATTTTAGAGGTAAGGGTATATTTAGTGCAAGCAAGTGCTACAAGCAAGATCCAACAGAGGAAGAAAGGGGCATTTTGGATCAAGGGAAGAACAGTAGCATGGGTAATAGGTTATTAACTCTGCACCATTTTGCCCACTCCCTTACTAATGTTTAACAAGGCTTTATTGATCACAATAGCCTTGATTTGTTCATGGGAACAGAAGATTACATTGTGGGCACCAGACCAGTCCTTGTATACAACATCTGCCAGCCAAAGACTTCATTAATAATTGATTTTAGGGGAATTGTACAAGCCCATATGGGCCTGGCTTTTGCCAGCATGCTCCATCATAACCTACAGATTGATTTATGAATAATCACAGGATATTAATCCTGGAAGAGACCACAGATTGGAAGTTGGGGGACCTAATCCCCCAAGAGGGCACAGGCAGAGGGAGGTTTTCTGACTCCTTTTGCAAAGAAAGTATGTTGAATCTTTCACCAACAGAATCTGAACCTTGGATGCACATATAAAACCTTACAGCTCAGTAATAAAAAGCAAGTCTCCAAGGAGCTCACTCCAGCTGACCTTTAGACACTCTTGACTGCATCTTCTGTGAAGCTTCCCCATGAGGCTGAATCTCTGTGTCAGAAACCATGAAGACGGGGTTCAGAAGTTCTTTGTTTAGTGAGACATGCAGAGTCCCTGGTAAGTATGGAAAGGTCTCAGATAGCCCAATTCACAGTCCAGAATTTTCTCCAAAATCACATAACAGCCTCTCCTGGAAACTAGTTTTACTACTAACACCCAGGATGTCAGGTAGGATTAGCAGATCATGATTCACCCAGATATCTGGCTTGCCC